TGCTGTGGCAAGGCGTCCCTGGGGTATGCCGTGGTGGCGAGCCTGGATGCAAAGGGGCTCCAGCAATGGCTGCGCAAGCGAGGAATGACCCAGCAGGCGGATTGCCTTGACGGCGTCACCGGTGGCGAGCTGGTGCAGTACGCCATCGCAGATGCAACCTGGCTGGTCACTGCACGCCACATCCCCGTGTCCTTGGCCATTGTCCTCTTGACTCTGCTTGACCTGAACACTGCCAAACTCCAAGAGCTTCGCGGTGACGACAACGGTAACTCAGATCAGCGCCAAGAGCACACGCACACAGTACCACACGGTGCAGGTGCTGCCACCTCCTCCGTCTCCACCTCTTCATCCGCCCTTTCAGCCAAAGCAGCCAACAAGAACAAGGGCAACAAGCACGCCATTGGTGGGCTGGACGTGGCCCCTGCGGTAACTGCGCTTGCAACATGCGACCTCTCTTCGGCTGCCCACCCACGATCCCTCGCCGCCAAGACAACGGATAATCAGATAGCCAACGAGACCGAGTCACCTCGCCGAGTCGCCATGGTAAAGCGAGGGTCGCCCGTGACGCTGCGCTCCCTGCTGGTCAACACCGTCAAGGGGGCGCTCGTCGACACCATCAAAGGCGCCGTGGAGAGCCTGCCGTTTGGATCTGTCGCCGTTGCGCTGTGCACGGACGCCGCTGATCGCATCAGCACCCTCAGGGACAACAAGGACAAGGCGCTCAGCCTGGCACGGCAGGCACGCAAGATCGCCAAGCACGGGCAGGTGATTCTCGTCTACTTTGAACAGGCGCAAGATGGCGAGGACGGCACAGAGGAGGCCGAGGAACTGCTTGAGCACACGTTCTACTCGTTTCGGCTCGCGGTCGATGCCAGCAACGGCAAGAGCGCTCACAGCATCATCGTGCGCTTCCTCGGCTGCAAGGACTTTGCGTCGGCACTGGACGAGGCGCAACAGCGGCTGGTGCAGGCGGTTGCCCTCACCAACCTCATCTTCAACTCCATGCAGGCGCAGAAGCAGCTCGGCAGCACATCATCCTCAACAGCAGCGCTCACCCAAGCACACGGAGATGCAGGTGCAAGTGAGGCGGGGTCCACGAATGCCCTGGCAGCATCGACATCAGCAGCGGCAGCAGCGGCGCAGCAAATGAGTGGACCAGCCAAGGTGCTCTGTGCGAGCAGCGCTCACGATGCTGCTGCTTTCTGGACGGACAATGGCTTTGACACAAAGGCTGATTTGCAAACGCTGCTCGACGCGCTCGATCTCTGGCTGTGTGCGTCACCCATTGCCAGCCGTGGCGTGGAGGAGGCGACGATGGCTGCTCTGACCGATGCTGACATTGCCAATAGCGACCGCCTGTACTTCTTCTTTGCGGGAAAGCGTGGCCTTGAAACCGTCACCGTGCAGCGCTTTGCCAAGTTTGTGGGCCGCGCAGAGTCCCTTGCACACGCCGTCCTTCCCTTCGTTGACGCACATGTGGACCTTGCAGACGGCGGCGAACCCACTACAACAGCAACAACAACGGGAACTGCAACGGGAACAGGAACTGCAACGGGAACAACATCAGCGGGAACGGAAGGATCAGGTACAGCAGCGTCAACATCGACACCAAGAAAGCAGTCCTCAGCAACAGCAACAGCAACACCAGCAAGGCAACCGGGGCTGGGAGACAGCGATGGCATCGCACTCTTGCGGGCAACGTTCCAGCCAGTTACATTCGGACGCGACCTGGTGAAGCACCAGAAGGCATTTGCGGAGGGCACGCGGCAGTGGGTGTTTGAGGCGTTTGAGAAGTGGGCACGCATGCCTGCAGAGGCAGAGGGAAGCCGGGTGTTCTGGGTCAAGGGCACTGGGGGCCTCGGCAAGTCCGTGATTGCTGCCCAGCTTGTCAAGCGGTACGGCAGCGAGGGGCACGCAAACAGGGTGCTCAGCAACACAAGCTACGGCAATGGGCGCGAAGGCGATGCTGATGGTGAAAGCGACGCTGGTGGTTGCGGTGACGATGATGATGGTGATGATGACGATGCCGCTGGTGACGAGGGCAACACGCCACTGATTGCCGCCCATTTCTTCTGCAAGCACGACGACGCCAACCGCAACGACCCACGCAAGGCCATTGCCACGCTCGCGTACCGCCTCGCCGTGCAAATGCCTGAGCTGCAGTCCGTGTATGCGCAGATGCTTGCCGATGACGCCTTGCGCCGGGCCGTTGGTAGCCTGATTGACGGCAGCAGCGGGTCTGTGGACGACGCGTTTGTCGAGTGCTTGGCCAAGCCGCTCTGGCTCGCACTTCAACTCAGACAGCAGCAACAGCAGCAGGGAGAAACAAAGGGAGACGCAAACGCCGAACAGGAAGCAACGGCGCACGCAGCAGATCCGGGCACATCGACAGGCAGTGCAGGCGCCGGCGACAGCGACTTGTCCACACAACAGCCACAACAGCCACAACAACAACAACAACAACAACAACAACAACAACAACAACAACAACAACAACAACAACAACAACAACAACAACAACAACAACAACAACAACAACAACAACAACAACAACAACAACAACAGCAGCAGCAGCAGCAACAGCAGCAGCAGCAGCAGCAGCAGGCCGAGGCTGCGTTGACTGGCCACCCCCACGTGTTCATCCTGATTGATGCACTGGACGAACTGCGTGCCGGATCAAGCCGCCAGCAGCTGCTGCGCATCATTGGCCGCCACCTGCCGTCGCTGCCGCCCTGTGTTCGTATCATCGTGACCTCGCGACCGGAAGACGATATTGTCGCCTTCTTCTCTGCGCTGTCGCCGTTTTCAATCGCCAAGCAGGACGAGCGCCACCGTGATGACCTCGAGTTTGCTGTTCGCCGCACTATTGTTCATCGCTCAAGCCTGCACCGCCTGCCCCGCAAGCAGCAGGACGCTGTTGTCACTACCATCGTCGATCGCGCAGATGGCGTGTTCCTTGCGGTGCGGCTTATGGCCCGCGCCCTGCTTGCTGCTGACAAGGGCGCGCTCACCGCAGCCGATGTGACCCGGACGCTGGGCGCACGCGCCAACTTCATTGACGGCACGTACACGGAGACGCTTGATCGCATCCAGATGCGACTCAAGGACGCGGCGAGTGGCGACGGGGAGGTGCTGGACACGCTGCGAGACTCCTTTCACGCCATCCTGGCCACCATCGTCGCATCTCTGCAGCCACTCAAGGCAAACTCGCTGCACGAGCTGTGCGGTGGCCGGCACGTGCTCAGCGCGGGCCTGACGAAGCGGCTGCTAAGCGCGCTGTCGCTCCTCTTCTCCAGCAGCAGCAAGCACGACGTGATTGAGCCACTGCACAAGACCGTCAACGACTTCCTCACGGACAAGACGCGGGCTGGCCCTCATTTTGTTGAGCGGCGCGATGGCCACGCCATCCTCGCACGTGCGTCTGTGCGTGTGCTTGAGGCATCGGGTGTTCTGTCGCTCGACGGCGGCCTGCACTCGCTCGACAGCATGTCGCGTGATGACGTGGTGGTGTACGCGGGGACGTTTGGGCACATGCATCTCATTGAATGTGCGAGCGCCTTGGCTGATCTCAGCCACGAACAGGCTAGTGCGCCAACACCAGCAGCTGCAGCTGCAACACAAAGCCGCGCATCCATGCGACGAGGTAGGAGCAAGAAGAAGAACAAACCAGCACCCTCTGCACCCAACTGGCCCAGTGCTTGCATACATGCACTGGAGGGGTGGGCACAGCTGCTACTGACTCACCGTTACGAGGGCAGTGCTAACGGTGGCAATCATGATGGTGATGGTGTTGGTGGTGCAAAGAAGAACACGAGCCTGGTCCGGTTTGGTGGCGTGTTTGAGGAGAGTGCGTGGTGCGCCAACGAAGCTTTTGCAGGTTGGCTGATGCTGCATCTGCACACGATGTCACGCGGCCTGCATTTTGTGCAGGAGCTGCACCGGCTGGCACGGCTCATCACACGCGCGTGTGCACAGCAGCACCGACACCAACACCAGCACGACTTGGCGGATGGGCAGCAACCAGCAAAATCAAGGCCACGCCGCCTGCTGTCACGGAGGACAAGCAAGCCTGCGCCAACAGCTGCAGCATCGGTTCCAGCGCTTCCACCGTTTGTGTGGATGCTTGGTGTGGTGCTGAGAGACACGGCGCAGTTGCTTGGCTCGCAGTGGCTGTCCCAATACTTTGGCGCCAACACGCCGAATGCGAGCGACCAGTTGCTGGTGGCGGTGTCCGGGTTCCTTGGCGCCGTGCCCGTCATGTCTGCGCTGCACCAGTCACCGGCGTGCAAGACCATGGCGCGTGTTGGCGGCCTGCCACCGCTCACCCTTGTCGTGCCCTTGCGCGCACAGCTGGACAAGCGGCTGCTGCAGCTGCCCGGGCACAAGTACATGGTGTGCTCAGTCGCATTCAGCACAGATGGCGCGATGTTGGCCTCGGGTGACTATCAGGGGGTGATCACCGTGTGGGACACGCGCTCGTGGGAAATCAAGTATCAGCTGCCGGCGCACAAGGGTTCCGTACAGCACATGATGTTTAGCGAGGTGGTGAAGGATGGACCGGACGAACAGCAGCAGCAGCAACAGCAGCAGCAGCAGGCGGAGAAGGGTGCTAAGGAGAAAGACAAGGCGAGGCCACAACAGCAGCAGGCAGCCCAAGGGGATCAAGCAACAGAGGGGCTGCGCAGAAGCAAGTCGAGGGGTTTAGCACGGCACGCAAGCAAGGTGACCAGAGGCGTGGCGAACACGTCTGCCCTGCCGAATGGCCAAGGAGATGCACCAGACTCAATGTTGGGCAATGGCAACATGAACAACCAACAACAAGCGCAGCACGACGAGGAGGGGGAGCAGCAGCAGCAGCAACAACAACAACAACAACAACAACAACAACAACAACAACAGCAACAACAACAACAACAACAACAACAACAACAACAACAACAACAACAACAACAACAACAACAACAACAGCAACAACAACAACAGCAACAACAACAGCAACAACAACAGCAACAACAACAACAGCTTCAGCAGCAGCAGCCGCAGCAGCAGCCTGGGGAGGATGAGCTGGGTGTGGAGTTGGATGTGAAGGAGGTGATGCTATCCGTGGGATGGGACTACAACGCCGGATTTTGGAATCCCACAACCAGCGACCTGCTTGCTGTGCTGCAGAAGGACATGCGGGATGCTGTTGGCGTGGGCTCCGACACGCGCGGCGCGCTGCTGTACGTGTGGTCGCCCATGTTTCGCAGGGACAAGGCGCACGACGTGACGGTGTTTGAGCTGGGCGAGGAGGCCGAGCAGAAGGTGCGCTGCGTCCTCAACGGCCACACGGACTTCGTTTGCGCCGCTGCATTCACGGCCGACGGCGCCAAGGTGGCCACTGTCTCGCGCGACCGCACCTTGAAGATGTGGGACTCCACCACGGGCGCGTGCCTGTTCACCGTGGAGCTGCCTGGCCCAACCCCACGTGCTGTCGCCCTGGATGCGACCGGGAAGATGGCGGCGGTGTCCGGCGATGTGGGCATGGCAGCGTGTGAGAAGTTGCCGTGCAACGCGTGGCTGCGCCTTGTTGACCTGGAAACAAAAGTCATCACGCCCGTGGCGTCTGGCATGCGAGACAGCGTGCGCACCATTGCGCTGGATCCGACAGGGAAGGTGCTGGTGTCGGCCACAAACTCGCTGCTCTCCGTGTGGGATACGGAGATGCTGGTGGCTGAGGCGCGTGCTGAGGAGGCGCGCACAGAGATGGAGCGGGAGCAGGTGAAGGCGGCATGTGCGCGGATTGGCACTGTCTGCAGCATCGGCTCTGTTCCGGGGCGGAGCGAGGTGGTGACAAACGCGTACAACTGCATGTACACGGTGTGGGACACAGTCACGGGCCAGCGGGTGTTTGCTGTGCAGGGCGAGGCGCAGGAAGAGCAGCGACACACGAAACATGGTCGCACGAGCAACGCGCAGCAGCAAGCGGAGTCCAAGGAGGCGGCAGCAATAGGTGAGAAAGGTCAGCGTGCAGATCAAGCAGACACGAGCGTGTCGAAAAAGCCTTCGTTCACACCATTGACACGCCGCTCCACGCACGTTCGCTTCGTTGCTGTGAGCGCAGACGCAGAGCAGGTGGCGTGCTGCTGTTCTGACGGATGTGTGCGCGTGTTCAACCGCAGCGCCGGCGCCCTCGTGCGTGTGCTGGAGGGGCTGGGGAATGGCGCGGCGTGCGCGGCGTTTGGGCCCGATGGCACGTCGCTGGTCGCCGGCGCAGAGCAAGAATCGCCTGCCGTCTGCCTATGGGCTTGGACGGATGCTGAACTGTGCGGCAGCACTTGTGGTGATGGTAATACTGGTGGGCACAGTGGGGCAGCCAGTGTGACTGCGAACGCGACTCAAGCAGAGGTGACAACACAGGCGGTGGTGGTAGTATTCAAGACGGATAATGGGGCTGTGAAGATGGTACCGAGGCACGTGATGCGGGGCCACACGGCGACGGTGAACCAGGTTGCGTACCGAAGCACAGGCGAGCATGTTGCATCTGCCAGCGACGATGCCACCGTGCGCGTGTGGCGAACAGACACGGGCGAGTGTGTACATGAGCTTGCGACAGGGCAGCAGCTGGCTGCGTGTGTTGCATACAGCTGCGATGGCCGGTATCTTGTTGCGGGCGCGCGAGACAAGTGCGTGCACGTGTGGGACGCGGACACTGGCGAGCGCGTGGCGAAGATGGAGGGCCACGGGCACGTGGTGACCTCTGTGGCGTTCCATCCGCAAGCGCCCTATCTTGTTTCTGGCGGGAAGGACAACACGATTCGGTTCTGGCGCACAGACAAGTGGGCGCTGGTGCACTCGATGCGCGGGCACGACGACGACTTGAACAAGCTCACCGGCGACAACAACCCCGTGTATGCGCTTGCGTTTCACGACGATGGTCGCACCCTTGTGTCTGGCAGCAGTGACGCCACGTTTCGTCAGTGGGACGTGGGCCGCCTCGACTGGAAGTCCAACGGCACCGTCCCTTTCCTCGACGCCTGATTGTGTTTCCTGTGTATGTGTGTGTACTTGTGTAATCGTGTGTGTGCTGTGTGCAGGTGTGTGTGTGCATAGCATGTGTGTGTGTGTGTGTGTGTGTGTGTGTGTGTGTGTGTGTGTGTGTGTGTGTGTGTGTGTGTGTGTGTGTGTGTGTGTGTGTGTGCAAGTGTGTGTGGTGTTCAAACATTTCGCGGCAGGTCCTCAAGAGTTTTCCGACACCATAAAGTTTTCATTTCCCTTCGAACCGTTTTTGTTGTTCGAGAGACAGCGGTGGTGGTGGCAACCAACAATAAACACCAACAACCAACACCAAACAAGCAGCGACCATCTACCATGAGCGGGGCTGATGATGACATCTACTCGTGAGTGTGTGTGTGTGTTTGTGCACGAGGCTTCCCTGCTAAGCGACGAAGCTTTCCTGCGAAACGATCAGGCTTAAAGAGTGCTGGGAAGTCTTCTCCTAACCCCCAAACCCATGCATCTCCCTTGTTTGCCGGGTTCATTCGTGCGTGTGTTTGTGTTCGTTCGTGCTGCAGGGGTTATGATGACTACGAGGATGCCTTGGACGTGGAGGTAAGACGTCAAGAAGGATGGCAGAGGGGACAGGGAGCGGAAAAGCGGAAGAGTGTTGCATTGGTTGAGATTGGTGAAAGGTGGTCGTGGCCGGTTTGCCTTGGCGCACGCAGATGGCCACATCAAGCACCCTCACGCAAATCGACATGTGCATGCAGGGCTTGGATGAGGACACCAACTTCCAGCAGGCGCTGAAGACGGCGTATGGCAAGCGTGCAGATTTGAGGACCGCATATGGTGCTGCCGTGAGCGGTGGGGCGCCGATGAGCCAGCGCCTGGCCACCGCATCTGGCCGTGGCATGACTGGGCGCGGCATGACGGCACGTGGCAAGACGGGTCGCATCTCCACCGCCCGTCTCACCACGGGATACGCTGCAGAGGTTTGTTTGTTTGTGTGCATGCGCGCATGTGTGTTTCTGTGTTTCTGTGTGTGTGTGTGTGTGTGTGTGTGCACGTCGCGTTCATGTGTGGGGTTGCCTGTTGTTGGCCACTGTGCGGGGCCGTGTACTCCGTTTCACTCACATGTTTACCTCTCCACCAATGAAATAGGGGGAAGGCGGTGAGCCGCGCAAGATCAAAGCTGTGGAGGCCGTGGGCTTTGTCAGCAGCAGAGGTTGGTCTTTACCCAAACGCGCGACTGCACACGCACACACACACACACACGCACACGCACACACACACACACACACACACACTGGAGCAAGTCGCTGTTCTATGTTGTTTGGTACTCTTTCAGCCGCATGGAGTGCGCCACCACATCGGCAGCCCACTGACACTCTACGCTTGGTCCCCCCTCCCTTCGGATAACCCCCTTCGCACCATCGCTCCTTGCACCATCATTCCAGGCAACAGCGCGCAGCCGTTTGACCCATCGCGGTCTGTCGGGTCTGCGAAGCCGCTGGAGAAGGCGGAGGACAGCAGCGAGGAGGCGGCACTGCGCGTATTGGAAGATAAAGTGCATCGCCTGCTCGAGGAAAGCGCAGAGGCAATCGCACAGAAGGATTTCCAAAAGGTCTGTGTATGTGTGAGTATGTGTGTGTTGTGTATGTGTATGCGTGTGTTGTATGCGTGTGTTGTCTGCGTATGTGGTGTGTGAACATGTGTGCGTGTTTTTGTGATGTGTGTGTGTGTGTGCGTTGGCCAGTGTACGCAATGCATGTGGGTGCAACAACTTGCCAACACCCCTCACGCCTCAATCCGCCCTCCCCATCCGATCACCACCACCACCACCACCACCACCAGGCGCTTGAGAAGGCAAAGGCCGCGGGGGTGCACGAGCGGGAGTTGACACGGAAGAAAGAGGCGCAACTCGGACCCGAACAGATCAACCTCGACCTCACATTCGCAGTCAGTTGCTGCCAGACGCATGGAGAGAGAGAGAGAGTGTGTGTGTGTGCGTGTGTGTGTGTGTGTGCGTGTGCGTGTGTGAGTGTGCGTGAGTGAGTGAGTGTGTGCGTGTGTGTATGTGTGTGCGTGTGTATATGTGTGTGTGGTTGATGATTTGCTGTGTTGCGTTGTGAACGTGACGTGTTGTATGGGGCTGATGTTTCAAAGTACAGGAAGCTCATCAGCATCGCATTGTCATCGCCACGACCTTCGCCATCGTTGCCGCAGGTGCTTGTGCATCTTGCGTATGTGCAGGAGCAGTGCGAGATGTACCCCGAGGCCATCAACACGCTGCTGGTGCTGGTGAAGAACAAGACGTTTGACCGCGCTGGGCGGCTGCGCGTGAACATCGGCAACATTTACTTCAAGCAGCAGAAGTACCTGCAGGCTGTCAAGCAATACCGCATGGCCCTCGACCAGATCCCGAGCGTGCAGCAGGAGATGAGGTGCGAGAACGTGCGTGGGTTGGGGTGCGGGGTAAGGTGAGGGGAAGGGGAAGAGTTTGAAATGGGTTGGTGGTTGTTTACGAGGTTGTCTGATTGTGCTAGGAATGTTCTATGGCATTGTGCGACTTGCTTGAAACACACAATTACCCCCTTCACACAACACCTCACACACATACATACATATATATATATGCAGGAGCGCTGTGCTGAAGAACATTGGGCAGGCGTTTATCCGCATGGGCCAGTATGGTGACGCCATGAAGACCTTTGAGCACGTGCTTGAGGAGACGCCAGTGAGGGTGAGAAGCGAGAGTGATGGTGCATGGTCTGGCAATTGATGCTGAAGATGATGGCTGCTTTGCTGTCACACACACACACACACACAAAAACAGACAAACAAACAAACAACTCGATCAGTAAGAACCACACACACACACACACACACCACCAACTTGAACGACGACAACAACATTGCACATGCTCACGCGCACACGTGTCATCAATGTCTTTGTCCTTGTGACAGGAGTTGGATGGGATGGAGGTGAAGGAGCCTGGTGACGACTTTGACTCGGCCCTCAACTGCCTGCTGTGCTACTTTGGACTCGGCGACCGGGAGAAGATGAAGCGTGGGTTTGCGCGATTGCTGTCACTGCAACTGCCGACGCACGATGAGGACGAGCGGTACATGAACATCCACGAGGACGAGCAGGTGCAGATTTACCTCGACGCGGTCCAAGACGACACGCTGCGGAAACACGAGCTCGCCACGAAGAAGAAGGCGGAGGAGTTTGTGCTCAAGGCCGCAAAGCTCATTGCGCCAGGTGGGGCAGGCGTCGTCGTCGTGGTGGTGGTGGTGGTGGAAGCGTTTATGTGATTGTTTGTATGTGTGTGTGTGTGATTGTGTGTGTGTGTGTGCGTGCGTTATTCTTGAATGCATGTGTGCATGTGTCGGCCTGCAATCGTGTCCTGATCAACTCATACTGCACCCGCATCCCTCACACGTTTCCCATCGCCACCATCACCATCATCATCACCATCACCACTATGATTCACATACATCACCGGCATTCACATACACCACCATCACGTTCATCAGTGATTGAAAGCTCGTTTGCAGAGGGGTATGACTGGTGCATTGAGCGGGTGAAGGGGTCTGCGTTCAGCAGTCTCGCGTCTGAGCTGGAGATCACCAAGGCCATCACGTACTTGAAGCTGAAGGATGTCAAGGCGGCAGCGAAGGTGCTCAAGTCGTTTGAGAAGAAGGAATCAAACATGCTCTCCACAGCCGCCACCAACCTCTCCTTCCTCTACATCCTGGTAAGCAGTGTCATGGGTGGAGTGTGTTTGCTGTTGTTGCTTGAACTCCTGTGCATGCTTGCCGCGCAGCCCCCAACTTCGTCTCTCTGCCTCTGTCTCTCCCTCGCACACACACTCTCTGTCACACCCACACACACACACTCACTCTCTCCCTCTCCCTCTCTCCCTCTCACACTCGCTCTGTCTCACGCACACACACTCACACACACGCACACACACGCTCTCTCTTGCTCCTTCCCAATCGACACAGGAGAACGACGTGAAGCAAGCCGAGCGGTATGCGGACCTCGCCATGGATGCAGACAAGTACAACCACTGCGGTGAGTCTTTGCTACCAGAAAGTGGAGAATGTGTGAATGCGTGTGGGTGTAGGCGCGGAGCGCGTGCGTGCGTGCGTGTGCTTCTCATCAAGTGTGTGCTCACCGTGCCCTCCGTTTATTACACATCCACCACACATCGCATCACATGGCCCCTCCTCCTGTGTGGTGCGACGTTTGCAGCGCTTGTGAACAAGGGCAACTGCGCGTTTATGCGGAAGCGGCTGGAGGAAGCGCAGGAACTGTATCAGGAGGCGCTCGCCATCGACTCGTCGTGTTCAGAGGCCCTCTTCAACCTCGGTGCGCTCTTTCATGTGCATCTGTGTGTGTGTGTGTGTGTGTGTGTGTGTGTGTGTGTGTGTGTGTGTGTGTGTGTGTGTGCATGTGGTTGTGTGTGTTTTTCATGTGGTTGTGCATGTGTGTGTTGTTGTGCGCATGTGGTTGTGCGCATGTGGTTGTGCATGTGGTCGTGTATGTGGTTGTGCGTGTTGTTGTGCGCATGTGGTTGTGCATGTGGTCGTGTATGTGTTTTTGCGTGTCCGTAAGTCATTGCCCCGGTTTCCTCATTCTCACCATGCACACTCATTCGCCCCACCACTGCCTGTCGCCGTGCAGGCCTGGTGCACCGCGACCTGGGCAACCTGGAGGACGCGCTGGAGTACTTCCACCGCGTGAACTTGCTCGTGCCAGACACGCCCGAGGTGGTCGCCGCAATCGCCGCCCTCAACGAACAGCTCGACGACACGGACCAGGTGCTGTGTGTGTGAATGCGTTCTTATGTGTGTGTTGTGTTGTGTGTGTGTATGTGTTTGTCGACTTTGTGCTGTTGTTCTCACTCTGCCCCGCCAAGACCTCTCTCGTTCCTCACACACTCCCACCCACTCTCCATGCTCCCCAGGCGTGCGAGTGGTACAACACCCTCATTTCCCTCGTGCCGTCAGATCCCAATGCGCTGGCGCACCTCGGCGACATGTTTGACCGGCTCGACGACAAGAGTCAGGCCTTCCAGTACCACTTTGAGGTTAGCTGTGGTCGTGTCTTCTGTGTGCATGTGTGTGCGTGCGTGTGTGCGTGTGTGTATGTGTGCGTGTGTGTGTGTGTGCGTCCATGTGTGTGAGAGAGTGTGTGTATGCGTGTGTGTGTGCATGTGCGTGTGCGTGTTTGTGTGTGGTTTCTTTCTGCCGGTTGTAGGCTTGCGCTGGATGCACGCTCACCCGCTTCATCCTCCATCATCATTAACCCCCCCCCCCCACTCCCGCGCGAATATCGCCGCCATCACAGGGGTTTCGCTATTTTCCGGCCGAAATCAACACCATCTCGTGGTTTGGGTCGTATTACATCGACTCGCAATACATCCAAAAGGCCATCCAGTTCTTCCAACGCGCCGTCGAAATCCAGTTAGTTCGCTGGTATCTGGTAAGGTGTTTGGTTGGTTGGTTGGTTG